GAGAGAGAGAGAGAGTTTGTGTGTGTTTGTATGCACGACGCCGACGTCGCGACGACTATTGATCGGCGCATCGCGACCGCGAGACGCGTTGTGCGCACAGAAAGCGAAAGTCGTATACTCCTTTCTTCGCCGTCTCGACTATTCCCCGTCTCTCCCCGCCTTTCTGTCTGCTTCTGGAACTTATTTCTCCTCCATCTACCTTCTTGTTCTCCTCTCGTTCTCGTCACGTAATGTCTTCTGTTTCTCTTAATTTCACCGCGTCTTTTTTCCATGCGCTTCATCTTTCTTCTCCTTTCTCCTTTCTGATTTTCAGTATTATCATTTTTTTTATCTCGAGTAATTTATATTTAGTAATTTATATCTTATTCTTGGGTACTGTAATTGTCATGCGTTTCGTAGAAAAAGTTACAATTATAACCGTGTCAAATGGTTTTAATTGCGTTTCGCAATATCTCTCGTCATTTGCATTTTTTTTATAGAAACAATTTTTTTTCCAAATATTTATACGTCATATTTCGAAAGGACTTAGTCATAGAGAACATGATATATAAATCTCGTCCTATCCCCTCTCTTCTCTATTCCCTTGTTCCTTCTCTCTTTTCTTTCTTTTTACTCCTTTCACTTCTTTGCCGCGCTCTCGCGCTCTCTCCCTTAATCCTGGATCGCTCGATCCTCATCTCTTTCCAAATCACCCGCCCTCCCCTGCCGATCCGGCAGTCCTAGGCACAGGTGCAACGTGAGTTGCTGGAGCCGCGCGCGCACCTCTGAGAAACCTGTTTCGAAACCCGGGATACCCCGACGAGATCAACGTAGTCTCGTTACGTGGGTGACTCTCTTTCTCTCTCGTCGCCGGCGTTCCGGAATATTGGCGGCGACGGCGGCAGCGAAGGGCAGCGCGACGAAGAGAATCGCGCGCGACGACGTCCCTGGCGTCTCTCTCATGGATTGCTCCCGTGTTGCGGACGGGTGTGCGCGCGCGTGCAAGTTCTGCTTCCCCCCTTTCTATCTTTCTCTCTTTCTCCCTTCTCTTAGAGTCTCGCCCTCTCTTTCTCCCTCTCTCAATGTCAGTGTCAAGGTCAGCGGGCCGACGCACCGGTCGCCGGAGCGCCGCCACCGCCATCGCCACCGCCACCGCCGCCGCCGCCATCGTCGCCGTCGTCACCACTGTTGCACCGCACACAACGGTATTGCTCCTTATGCATCCGATATTGCTCGCCGGTATTTCTCGTACATATACATCGGATGTGAGAGAAGGAGAGAAAAGAGAGATGAATAGAGAGAACAGACAGAAGCGAGTCATACAGACGAAATCGCGCCAGCACCCCCACGCGCGGCACCCTTAACGTCGCTGCCGCCGCCGCCGCCGCCGCCGCGAGCAGTCGCGTCGTTATCTCGTGTCTCGTTTCCGCCGGTTTGATCTCGCGTCGACCACTCGCTACACATTCCGGGGATAACCGCCCGGTATATCGTAACGCGTCGCGTTCGTGCGTTGTCGGTTATCCTCCAAGTTCCTAGCCCCCCCCTCCCCCCCCGGTTTCTTCTCCCTTCGGGCTCTTTCTTTTCTCGCCCGCATTTTTCTCCTTTTCTCCGCCTCTCCCTCTTTCCCTCTCCCTTTGCCTCTCTTCTATTGAGCCTCCGTTACATCCACCAGCCTGCCGGCTCTCTCGTGCGCGATCCCTCTCATAGTAGCTCAATACACGCCGTCGCGGGAGTGATACACACGAATCATCGCCCCGCGTGCATATACATAAACACACACCTTCCGTTTCTCCCCGCCGATCGGATCGGTCGGTCGACCGACCGACCGACCGACCGACCGGCCGGCCGGCCGACGGGTCGGCCCCGCGTTTGTCTCTTTCTTCGTCGCTTTCCGATCGTGTCCTTTTCTCGTATCGGCGTGCCCCCGCACGCGTTCTCCTCCTCTCATCCGTTGCACCCTCGGGCGCGCTACGCGCCGGCCGCGGTGCATTCCGCGGAGAACCTCCGCTCGGCATCGTTTGTACGTCGTGCGCTGCTCCGTCCGTGTGTGTCACCGGTTCTGCCTTATTTCTTCCCGCCTCTCCGGTCGTCTTCACGCATATACACACATACATCATTCCATCTTTCGTTTCTCTCTCTCTCTC